CGATCGCACTATCAAGCAATCCCCTGCAATAGGCCGTTTGTGTGGCTACAATTGTAGTTCCTCGTGGTACAAAACCGCCATGCTTGAGAGCAAGAGGCGCATTGGAAAAAGACAAACAAAGAGTTGACATCATTTAAAATAGCAATTTCCTTTGTTTGTCTTGTCACAGTGCATCTTTTGCTCTCCAACGTGGGGGGTTTGTACAGCATGAATGACCAACTGCAAAGGGTCTATTATGTGAGTTAAACACACCTGTTTCCACCATTTTGGGCATGCGCAAAAATGTTATCATTTATTACACTGTCCTGTTACGGTCGTGTCAAAAGTGTTATCCTTGATTCCAGTCACTGTCTCGTCCTAGAAGGCCGATTAACCAAAGGTAAAATGTTACCAGTATTATTGCTGTGCCTGGATCTAAAGATCAAAACTGAAAGTTTAGCTCTTAGTAGAGGGTTCTTATCAATTACTGATAATTTTACCAAGCCGATTTATCTGAAAGCTCGCTTTCTTAAATAAATCCTCTCTAACGACAAGCTCGGGCAAAGGAGTAGCGCTTAAAGGTCAGCTTTCCGGTATAGCTATATCCTTGTACGAAAACAAAAGGGAATTAATGCTTTCCGCTAGAAATATGTATTTCATGGAGAAAACATGCGGGATTTTAGTGCGTTAGGTTTTCATACAATTTGTGTGAGAAATATGTTAGACACAACGGAAACTTTGAGGCTTTTTCTCGAGGGTTCACTTAAAATAAAGCAAACAATTTTTATAAATTAAAATTAAAAATACCTTGAAATCTCGTTTTTCGGCACTTACATGTTTTCTTTTTTATTTTAGTGCATGAACCATGCACTTATTTCTGCTGTTTGTGTTGTACGTACATGTATACTGTACAAGTTTTTATTGCATACTCTTTCAAAATCAATCATGAAATCTTTTAAATTCGTAGTGGCTACAATATGAATCAACTTTTGCTATTGAAGCATTAAAACAAATAAATTGAGGTAGTTGCAGCTCTTAGCCTTTTCTTTCGCAAAACTGACAATTCGCCTGCTGAATTTAAAATTACATTAGCAAAAGTCAAACCTCAGATGAACGCCTCTCACTTATAATCATAGTTAAGTTTATAAAAATACTTTTCGGTTCATATTAACTGTCGATACACTTAGAAGGAAAAAAATCCACCATAGTTTTTATTCTGAATGAAAAGTTGCTAACAATGGCCTGGTCGTGTAAAAATGGTGGAAAAAAAGGGCACGAAACTGAACTTGAAAATGTCGAGTTGAAATTCTCAAAAACCGTTTAAAATGCTTTTTCCACACCCTAGAAAATATATATTGTTGTTCATGCAATAGCCTTTTCATAGTAAATCAGCTGGCGTACCGCGTATCTTTAATTGCAAATAATTATAGTAAAAATTTGCGCGAAAAATAAGAGAGGAAATCTCATGGCATTGTTTTTCAGGGCATTCAAGGCAGAATATTCAATGAAGCATTGACTCTTAATTTTACCCTTGCGAACATCAAGGTTCAATTTTCGAGTGCTTTAGGTAATTTTCGTTTTATTGGCAGGCGGCAGAGGAAATAGCTTTATGTGTACTGACGTAAAAGAGGGTCGAACTCTTTTGGGTCTTAATGTGAATATTGACTTCGTTTGGGATTGGTAATAATGCAGTTTTGTAATCTGATCAGGTGTCTTTAATATGAACTGTCTGGAATTACATTCATTGTCAAGCTTTATACACTCTCGCAAGCCCTGTTTCGAAAGATATTAATATTTCTACTGATAAGCAAAGTTACGTTTACCCTATAGATCGATTCTCTGACGTAATTTGTATCTTTATTTTAATACAGGAAATATATCTTCTTTGTCGATGGAAAATTCTACAAAATCAGCGAACATAGGGGTCTTCAGAAGCACATGTGACGTACGGTCTCACCAAGATCATTTGCCACCAGTCGTGCCAACTTTACTGATTATCAATATCGTCATTAACTCCATTTTTGCGTGTATGACAGTAATTGGTAATATTCTCATCTTGATAAGCCTCAGAAGAACTTCTAGAGTTCACGCTGCCTCAAAAGCTCTATACCTCAGTTTGGCCATGGCGGATCTGGGCGTCGGCATCTTTGTACAGCCAGTGTTCGTTATACGCCTGGTGGCGGCACGAAGAGGGCTAACAGAAGTTTGCAGGCTGGCCGGACATATCATCGATGTTGCTGGTGTAATCACTGTCGGTGTCTCGCTCCAGACTCTGTCGGTCATCAGCGTCGATCGAGTGCTCGCCATACGTCTCAAGATACGCTACAGAGAGGTCGCAACTGCCAACCGAACACGGATCGCTTTGCTAATCTGCTGGTGCACCAGTGCCTTACAAGGAGTCAGTTTCTTTATCAATACGGCTTTCTACAACATGTATCAGGTCGTTGGCATTTCGTTTTGCATCTGTGTCTCGTCAATTTCATATCTCATTATCTTTCGCAATTTGCGGATCCTTCAAAACCAAATCCAGAATTACAGCCCTGAATCAATTTCAAATTCCTCGTTCAATATAAAGCGTTACAAGAAATCGGTGTCCACAGCACTGTGGGTGTATGCGTCTCTTCTCGGCTGCTTTGTTCCCTATATACCATCTGTTGCCATACGCTTGTCAGTTGGGGTCAGTGCGACAAACCTTGCGATTCATTGGTTTACGGTGACACTTTTATACGCGAACTCTGTACTTAACCCAATCCTTTACTGCTGGAAGATTCAAGCAGTGAGAGATTCGGTGAAAGAAATTATAAAACTACGTTGGTCGGGATAATCACCACTCTCGTGCGTACACCTTTTTTACAAGATCCTAACAAACCGATTTAAATCGATCTAAATTCTAACGCACAAGTTTTATGAAATAAAGCCTGTTTACATTTAGGTTGGGGAGCCCAGGTAGATGAGGTAACCTGCTTAGATAGGATAACCCACCTGTTCATATATTTTCTCATTTGGTCACCCCACCTATCATGTAAACGTGATCAGATTGAAATGAGAGATTTTGTGAACAGGTGGTTACCCTACCTAAGCTCTTTACCTCACCTACCTGAGGTTCCGCACCTTCGCGCGCGTAAACAGGCCTTTGGTTACTTAACCTTTTAACAAGCTTCCAAGGACTGCTGTGGGTGGGCCCGTGCTCTTTTGCTCTTTTATTTTCACGCAGGATCTCACAAAGAGAGACTGTTCACATTGACTTTAATTTTATGATCAATCTTGAAGAAAGGTTTACTGTTTCTATGGAAACGGTACACGTCATGATTATGACGATTGTTCACCAAAAGTATGAGCCGGGCGTTAATTTGCTTCACTGTAGGGCTTTTGTGGTAACAATCAAGACAGCATGGTATTGCAGAGTGCTCAATGCATCATAAGTGCCATCAGCGGGAAGAGATCTGATGTTCCTTAAAAACAAAATACTGAAACCGGACTACACTCCCGGGGGCACATCCTTATATAAGCCATGTAGGTATGTGCCGCCCTAAAGGGTATGGTTTCTGCGCCATTTTGGTCTGAAGACGGGTTTAGACTTTGCCCATTTTGGTGGTGGGGTTTTCGAGGAAACTACAGAAGTGTATGAACGTATTCATCGTTTCAATTCCAAATGAATGCGATATGCGAATTCGAAGTGGATTTTAAGAAATCTTTTTTGTTGGCGTTCTAATCTAAGTAATGATGACATAATTTCGTAGAGGCCGGGTCTGAAAACCGGTGTGAAAATGACATTTTTGGTCTGAAATAAGTTCAGGATTTAGTGAAACGGAAGGCACACCCCAACCCCCCACCCAAAAATTCCCAGGCGTAACTCCACGGGACTACACTATACTTGAGTTTAAAATGGCCGCAGAACTTAAATAAAGGACGTATTAAAGGCTCAAGGTAAGGGCAGATCTCCACCTGCCTGTACCTTTCCCCAGTCTCTCTCGTCTCCTTCCCACAATTCTTAGCTATAAAAATACTTTTTTACATCCGTGGATGAGAGTGAGTTTCCTTTAGAAAATTTCATTTCATATTTATGTACTAAAAATACGCGTTATCGCAAAACTCTCGCGAGGCTAAAAGGGGTCAGCAATGAGAATAAACGGAACCAAGCCGAAGGGTGAAAATACGAATTATTCATCCATTTAATTCAGAGATAAAATCAATCCTGCTGTTTAAAAGCTTTTTTTATTAGCAGCCGCGGAAGTCCTGTATTAAAAATGCAGACACAAAAGATGGAAACAAATTGACAATTAATCTACGTCCTATAGATGAGAAACATGGGAAACAGAACATTTGTTCAACAGGCCGGTTAGTCTTAATGCAAAAATCGCAAAAAAAAAATGACTGGGGAAAAAACTTAGCAACTGTGTTTTTTTTTTGTTTCCATTTTTCAGGTAAAAAATAGAATATATACCTACAGTACCTTTAAATTACAAACGATCTGAGTGTGCGTTTTCCAGTCGTTTTAATCTAGTGAGTAAATATTATAGGTTGGAAAACGAGTAATGTTGTTTTAATTGGAAGATAATAATACTTCAAAGGAAACAAGATATTCTTTTTTGTTTGCGATCTTTGTAGAAATGACAAACAAGAAAGACTGTGACAACCCTTTTTGCTTAGAAATGTGTAGTTCAGAGAAATAAATCATTTCATAATAATTGCATAGAGTGAGAAAATATAACTTGTCATACGTTTGAAACGTTTATAAATTGCATTTTCGCTAAACTGAGAAGCGCAGGTAATCTGTTACGTCACAAACAATGAAGGCCTTGTGAAGTAAAAATTAATAGCATATAAGTTAAGAGAATTCTCGAGACCTAACTGTTAAGAATACTAAAACTTTCAATATATGTTTCGCCCCCAAGGAAGAGAAGTTAATATCTTAAAAGATTAATTCGAACGCAATTATTCACAAACCAAAAATTTCCATAATATATTAACTTCAATAAAATTCGGTCATCACAAGCTTATCTTCTTTAATTTTTACTTCGTAATATGATGCCATGGGATAAACCACTCATTTTACAGTGAAATCCCGCTAAAAAAAAAAGTTTCAGAAAAATAAGTAAGTATCATAACTCGATTATGTTTATAATGTTGAGGGTTACAATCGAGCCCGCAGTTTTCTTTATCATTAGAGTTTTCATCTAGAGATACGTACCGAAAATTGAGAAATGCAAAATCGTGCCATCGAGAGTGAGAAACCAATATGACCAGGTGATCGAATGGCAAAGGAAAATAATTTCTTGATTTTAGTTTGCCTCTATTCTCACCAATATTTGCGCGAGTACAAATTTATGATCACGATTTTCGCCATTTAATTTCCAAAAAAGACGCGAATTTTAATACAACAGTCTTTTGTACTTACAGATGCTGCACTGTAATCGAAAGACAATTTTCTGAGAATGACTACATACAGAATTTAAGTAACAGCCGAAATGATCTTTTTCGTCGCTAATCTTTAATGTAAGCTCCATACCTGCTCACTATCAGATCATTTTCTGTGACTGCAGTGCAACCTCACAGCAACGGCCACTCCTTTATTTGGGACAGAAAAAAGTGGCCCGTTGTAAAGAGGTTTAAACAAGAGTCAATGTGTGGAGCGAAATTTAACACCCGTTCGTGACTGTATTTTTTTGCTTTCGAAAGCTCGGAAACATTTGACAGAATCCATCAGGAAATTAAAAGGATAAGGTCGACAATGAAAGTGCTCATCATTCATCTTTTTCAATAACCATTGCACATTACTTTTCAACCATAGCACTTTACTTTCATTTATTTTAAACTATTAATTTTACATAATTATTAATTTGTCAAAAGGGATCCGGACCTCATAACAGACTGATAAATTTGCTGCACTTCTCCCAACCGTTCTTGAACAGTCAAAGCCTTCGTAGAAAGCGTTTCTTCAGGTTAATTTTGTATATTATTAGTAGTACCGTTCAAACTTGACTCCTATTTCAGAGAGGAAGAAGTAAATTGGGGAGCCATGCAGTTTTTTTGGTCGTGATTTAATCCCTAAGCTTTAAGAGAGGTCAGCATCAAATTTCTTCTTGGAATATCAATGCTTTGCAATGACAGAGCAGACAGAGTGGTCTTAAGAATTAACAACATGATCACACAAGATGATTTTGCTTAATATTTTAACAACTTCTCCCCACTATTTCTATAGGCAACGAATAGCGGCAACAAAGGAGAATTTAGATTTTCATTTTCGGGTTTAAAGAGTAAATGCATGTGCGACATCTCAGTTGCTCGGAAAAGTAAAACCGGATTGCAGCACAATACCGCTGTAATTGATACAGCGGGCACATAAGGCCCGATTACGATATGTCAATCAGTCTGAGGAAGGAAATAATATTCTCCAAATTGTACCGTTTGGCATTTTACAAGTTACTAGTGAGAAACACTAACAAAGGTGGGTAAGTTTTTTTAATCGATATTTACCTGGTAGTTCTAATTACCCAAAACAGAGCAACGCAGATCAACTAGCCACATTTACACAATGACATCAGCAATCTATTGTAGATTGCGTTTTGTCAATTTCAGCTTCGTGTGTTCCCGCCAAAAGGGATCGTTGCTTCTTAAATTTTCTCTAAAATTCTAATCTACTGACCAAACTACATTAAGATGTAAGATCTTACGATTTGGTCCTCCCGTTGAGAGTTGTACAGTACAGCACAACTGTATGCTCAGAATTCACGTTATGCCAAAACAAAACATTGACTTGTTCAGTCACGCTATCCTAGCCTGAGTGAACGCGAGTCTCGTTTAACAAAGACTCTTGCTCCATTCTTTTTTATTTCAGTAGGCTTTGTTACCATTTTTTGAAAAACAATCTGATGGTTCCAAATCCGTGAGAAAGCAGTTTTAAAAGCATGAGTTCATAAATCATCATCTACAGGGGTTATCAGTTAAAACATGTACAAGTATATAGCATCGGATGTTTTGTCGATAAAAAAGATTGGTCGTTTCCTTGAGTTACAAATTAAAATTCGCTCAAAAAGCGCCGTCTGTCAACTGGCTTGGAGCACGACAATTTTCTGATTGAACATCATTTTTAGTATCTGTTGCGCTTGATCAACTTCTACTAATGAGCATGTATGGAAAAACAGGTTTCTTATCGGAAAAGAAACGAGGGATGTGATAACTTGACTTGCACCAATGATACGGAAATGGAAACGATTAAGTAGCCGGGTTGGGTCTGTGGTTTCTTGCATAAAAGACTTTGCTTCAGGTAAATTGACCAACACAACGTAATTAGGCCACACACAACCCAAACATCCCTACAAACGCGACGTTGACAGGGGTCATAGGGGCTTGACTAAAAATATGATATGACGGACGGACTCGCTGCTTTATGGAAAAGTTGTCATAGCAATGGACCAATGTGGGAAACTCGTTGAAACAAAGTTGTGAAAACTGACATCGGAGCAATCAGATTCTTACACCTGACAAAGCATTGAAAAAAGAAAGAAAGTTAATTTGAGCAATCTCGCAGGAACTGAGAAAAATACAAATTAAAAGCTTCTTTTAGAGATGAGATAGTTTCGAATTACTCCTACTAAGTCACAAGATAAACATGGGATGAGCGAAAATTCCCAAGCAGAGTTATTATGTGAATTCCTCACCAGTGATATAATTGGCGTCTTCGCTCGCGTGACGGATATCCTTTGGATAATCAAGTATCAGTGTTCATAGCAAGCGTCGTAGGAAAAGATTTATACCCAAAAATGAATCTTGATTCTAACGGGCACTCAATAGAATTCCCTCTTTGCTTATTGCAACCCACAT